TATTGTCTTCTCTGACTCCAGCCTAAACGTTGTTGGAAATAGCAAATGGCGGAAGGTCCATGTATAGCCCATTGTTCCAACCTGTTCACGCGAGATAATGTCGTGTACGCGTACGCGGTGTCATTACGCGACTAAAGAACGACAAACAACCAATGACCTGATTGCATAAGAGTGATAAGCAATAAAGCATCGGAGTTAGTATTTTAAGAAATCGTGGTTTGCTTCGTATCTACTCGATATCGACTGCTACTAGGGATGGCATCACTTGCTTTACTTTATATCAATTTTCTGTCAAATTAAGCTTCCAAATGCCGTCTGATTTTGCCTGAAGGCGCCAAGACTTTGGAATAGTCCCGAAACAATCTCTATTCAGGCGGATCTGAACCAGAGTTTAAACTGGTTAACCGAAATAATGTCATGACAGATACGCAGCACTCTAGGCAGCAGCTCATGGCTAAAAAATATCCCATGAGTCGGATCTGAACATATTACACCTACAGAATCAAAACAATGTTTGCATGTTGCTCATACGTATGAGCTTGAATTGCAAATTAATAATAAATATACGAAGAAAATTTAGTCTTTAAAACTCGCGTTTCTCCACTAGCAGTTATCTGTAGCTCTGTGTCTTCTGTACTACTGTGTGCAAAAATTCGACTCATTTGGTTCCCGAGGTATTGCAGCGTGCCAGGAGAGCCCTCATTGCGTTTGAACTGCCTTTTCAAAATAAAGTGATGTGTCTGGCTTTTCCTGTTTGATTTTACTGCCACAACTACCCTAAATCGTTTACTAATTTTATGACGATTAATTCATTCCATTGGCGTGGATCTTCTATCTGCGCGGATTTCTCAGAAAAGTGGCAAGAGAAATACGAGCTTGGCGTTGACCGTGACTTTGAAAAACTCGATTGTTTTATTGCACCAGTACGTGGCTACATTCATGCCCTTCTTCAGTTCTTCGTACAAAATCGCTGATTGTGAACATTTGCATTATTTAGATATTTACCGTCGTTAAAAAAGATATTTCCTACTCATAAGCGTTTATTATTCAACAACTCAGTAATTCTTTAATACTTTTACGATGGCATTACATAGTATATATGTCTTCTTACAGCTACGTATGTCAAAATCAGTAAAATCACTTGCTGTGCCGTGCACATGCTCTCCGGGCTTTGGCAAGCAATTACAAAAGAACTATAACGACGTTTCATTGTTAAGCGTCTCGCGTCATATAAATCCGATTCTTCTAATTTCTATTTTGCACAGTCACCTTATTAAATTTAAGGATTTAGTGTGACTTAATCATTATTCCATAACATGTATAACGTGCGTTATACATTAAGTTACTCATTATTTTATCATAAACAACGATGTTCATGATAAAATAACGAAAAACTTAATGATGGACAATCTAAATCTTTGGTGCTTTTCGAAAATTGCCGTGACAAGCCAAAACGAACAAGTGCTTCAAATATGTCATTCTGTCATTCCCATCACTTGTGAAGGGAAGTAAGTACTTCCCAAGCAATTACTTAAGCAATCGCTCAAATCATGATTTAAGTCATGGCGGACACTTTACTTTACTTTAAATTTACAAAACTTGAAAGGTTGCCCTTAGAGTTGACTGACGACGCCGAGTCAAAAAAGTCAGTAAATTTTTTTATTTTTTATATCGATATAACAAATAAAAAAATTTATGGATTCAAAATACTTATGCGAATTTCTTTTTGACTCGGCCTCGTCAGTCAACTCCGAGCGCAACCTTTTAATTCTATTCGTAGGCACGCTAACCACATCTGATCTTGGTCAAGATAGAATGTGGTTACCGTGCCTACGAATAGAGTAGATAGACGTTTTGAGACATTCACATCTCAGGCAGCAATGCTGCGTAAGTATACAGTCAATCTATTTAAGGATGTTCGTATATTGGACAAATTAAAAAATCTGAACAAATGCTTTCGAGAACGATGAGCCTTGTCAAATACCTACTTGAGAAGACACAGCCCTCTGGGTGCATCAGTAGGTGTCGGGTTGTCGACGATAAGCTTTAAAAAGTAATTTTCAAGTTGCCAATAGCTACCACAACCAAGAATGACATTAGAAAGAAGAAAATTTTCTTTCTTTGCCTTTGTAAAAGACGACATTTTCGAGGCTACTGAACAAACCATGAGATTTTCATTTTCAAATAGGAAGCGATTTGTGTTACGCCTTAGGAACGTCCTATCATTAGCAACACAAGTGCACTAACTTATAATAATCCCTAAAAAATTGTTTATGTAAAACAGACAGAAAAGCACTTGGAACATTACGAAAGGACGTTCTTTTGGAAAACGTGACATCTCGAGCATATACTTTGACTTCTGTTCTAAAAAACGAAAGTAAGCGCATTCTGATCATTTGAGATAGGTAGCCGACAAGAAACTCATCAAGAATGTATCTTCTCTTTGAATAACCAGAGGTGTTTAAGGAATGCGTCTTTTACATCCTTATACGCTGAACATCTTGCTTAGAAGATCCATTATATTCAGGCTATATTAAAGCAAGATCTGTCTTTGGTCTCCGTACTGTACATCAATAGCCCATTGTTGTCCATAAGACCCTGAAACGCGATAATAAAGGATGCTAATCAGAACTCTATAAAATTATGATTTGCAAGTGCAACCTGAAAACCTTCCTAATTTTTTTGCCGCCACAAAAACATAATAGGTATTCAAGTTTAGTTTGGGCCATCTACCACCACCATCACAAATGTGATAATTTTAGGAAGGGGCCTTTTAAAGAGGATTTTATTACGTTGATTGCTTGCTGAAAATTTACAGGAATTTCGTTTGTTTCTGGTGAGACGACTGTTCGTCATTTATATTTCCCATCGCTTAAAGCGGACCTAATGCGACTCATCAGCTTTTGTTCGCTAACCTGGGAGCTGAGTTGTTTAATAGTAGTGTCTGAAATGACAATTCTACTTGAATTCTTTAAATGCCGCCGTTGTTATGTATTCGTTAAGCGAGTTTTAAGCTATTTTTAAATCTCAAACTCCACAAATCAAGGCCATGTCGTTAAATGCTATTCTAAATTTCCGAAGAATACCCTCAAACGTGACAGATACAGCGTGTGAAAGTGTTTGGTCTATTGGCTTAAACGCAGAAACAACTTACTTGGTAACCAGCACAGATAAAAGTTTATGTTAGTTTGCAGGTGTGAGAAAAGTTTTAAACGCCTCCAAATCTTTGGCGGTTTCCGACTAGCACGACTATTCCAGCTTCGTATTGTAAGTTTTTATGATCTTACAACATGTTAAATACACTGACGTGACTCAGAAAAGCGTTGTTTAAGAGAAATCTCGGGATACAGATTTTTGCTTAAACATTACGTAATGCCAATCACTTTTTAGTAAGAGTGGCTTGGACATACTAGAAGAATATGTATTCAGATATTTTGTCTTATGATAGAGAGTAATACTCAAAAGTTTATAATTCCTACTTGCTCGACGATTCACCGTTTTCTGTAAAACTAGCAGCATGTCTATAATAATGCTTCATGCCTTCCACTGAAATGCTTAATGCCCAAGTGATTTACGCTTCTGAAATGTTTCCTGGTTTACTGTAGTCCACTATGATAGCATATTGTGCTAACCGACAGTAGAAATCAAACCTTGCAGCCAGCCCATTATGGGAATGTGTGGTGCCTAACAGATGGACTGAACATCAGGCTTGGTGGCCGCTTTTGTGTGGCCTCCATAACCGTCTCACGTGTTCGGGACACGACCCGTCACCTCCCTGTGTGTTGTGTGGGGGATCAGGTCGTGTGTGGCACGCGCTGATTGTTGTTTAACTCCATCGGCCACTTGCACCCAATCCCAATATCAGATTGCAAACCGACTCAATCAGTGGAGTGGTTCAAGGGGGAGGGAAGAGAGTGATATCGATTCTCGAGACTCCGTCCACACGGCGCTTTGCGCGATCCTACACTATAATGATGTCCTGAAAACCATGACTTGGAAGGCTCCCAACGAACGGTATAGCTCAGTGGTTTCAGGACGGAGGGTCAAAGTGCTGTAATACTCCTCACTCAGATAGGATCGGAGCTGCCCCCTGCTTTGTTTCCGTGACAGCCAGGTACATCTTGCGCGGACCACACCTGTTTAGCAGGAGCAGACGGGCTCTCTAACTTTCCCGGCCTGATCCCGTCTTCGGCCATCCGCCCATTGCCTTGTTTCAGTGAATACCTGATATGCTTCTGTGGAACCAGGTTGTGTGTGGTACCCATAGGCGGCCTGTCTAGACTTGTCTGCCACTGCTCATGGGGTTGCATCCGCTCCTCCTAACTTTGTTTTGGCATTGATGCGGCGCAGAGAGTGCGCAGATGTTATGCAAGTTGTTGTCCTGCGCTCACCCAGCTGTGGAGCATACGGTGGATATTTTTGTTTGTGACAGTCGAATAGCCGTGTCAGTCTCAGACCGTTGAGTATTATGGCAAAGTGAATCTAGTTTCAAAAGTTGCCAAATGTACTAGACAAGTTCTGTTCTAAGTCAAAAACCTATAATTATTCAAAGTAAATATTCGTAGCTTGCAAACGCCTGGTTTTGAATGAATAAGCTTAACAGTGGACGAGACTTTACTGCATTCTTACATATTAGGTCACCAAACCTTCAAAAATTGTTGTAGAGCCTCTAACTCTAGCCTTGTCTGGCAGTCTTTTTTTACCAGCGAGTACTGCTTTTTAAGTTGGGAAGGTCAGCTGCCACTTCCGGAGTTTCCCCGCTAATGTGAATAGCTTTTCATCAAACATTTTGCATCCACTAATGACACGACTGCAGATAAAAATTATGAGTTAAAGAATATTTAAACATAAGCTGCCTGCATGCTTTTAAATGCCTTTTTATGTACTGGTCGCTAAGAAGTCGCATCATAGGCGTTATGATAACGAGTTTATGTTTACCTATCCAACGCTCTTTTTGTTAGCCATTTATTCGCTATCTGGAAACATAAAGGGCCGTTAAAATGTCCTCGGGTGGAAGAGAAGTTCAACACATAAAGCAAAGTGATGGAGGCGAAGCCTTTCTTCACAACCACTACGTGACAACAAACATGTATACCTACGGCTCCTACTGGAACGGCTTTAAACCGACCTTTAAGACTTTTGAGGGCGCTGGTTATGTCACCAACAATCGGCCGGTTGTGCAGTACTGCACTGAGCTGGATCGTGTCGACAATCCGGCAATGATGTAAGCTGCCAATTTCCTTAAATTTTCTTCGACCAACGCAACAGTGAGGAATTGCGTTGCAATTACGTGACTACTAACCAGGCCACCTATGTACCCTATGGGAAAAAGCACGGCAAGGAACAACTACCACCAGCAACTTACCAGCCAAGGGAGTCGATATTCTTCCTTAAGTCAATAAACTCACCTCCAACACAGCAGGTAGGCCAGTGTCTGTTAGTAGTATGTATGGCTTACGATTCAGTTGGCAGACACCTATCACACCGAAAGGTTCAAACTAGCTGGTATATCCACCCCGGAGTATCATCGTGCTCTTCTATGGAAAGTGCACAACAAAGACAGCCGGATGGATGAAAATGCCCGAAATGTAGGGATTAATTGTCTTTTTGCCATTTTAACATAGGGTCCCGGCCTATGGTCTACACAATATTCCACCGACTATGTTCCAAAGAAGCAAGCAACAGGTAACCTTGACTGAGAACAAGTAATGGGACATGATAAAATTAAATGTCGTTTTTGATTGTTTTTACAGTGCGAAAGGTGCATGCAGTCAGTCGACTTGTGACCGCGGTGAGCAAAGAACCCGAACGAGGTTCTTCTGCACGAGCAAAACCGACTTTCGTAACCTGATAGCGGCCCCCTCTGCTGTTGTTAATATGCACTAACCCAGTTACTTAGAGTGGCTCTGATGGGCCTTATAAATCACATGAAAACTCTGCTGGGACCCACACGATCCCCGGAATCAATAACATGTGCAAGAATGACGCTGTTTACGCCCATAGTTTTGCCTCTTACAAGCCATACCAGGAGGTGTTCTGGTATTCTTCTGGATAAGCGCCGACTCGTGCGTCCAATATAACCTTCTCCACGAGAGCAAATGAACGAGTAGATGCACAATGAAGTGGTCTGAGGTGACAACCTATCCCTAAATTCTCCGCGTAAAACAGGGTTAGTAAAGAAGGTTTGTGTGACAGCCTGATCAAGGAGTCTTCGTAGGAGTTTACTCCTAGCGTCCCGTTGAGTAAGGACTATGTGGAACAGTGTTTTCTTTTTGGCAGTCAGTTTAATGTGGGTGTTCTGGTCATTCGAAAATTTTCTATGCAACATAGCGGTCAGGATACCAGTTTTCGCGAAGCAAGTCATAGATTTTCCTAGGATTTTCAGCAGTGCTGTCCCTCAAACAGACTTTTTTAGCCTTTTGCAACAAACACCCGACTGGACTTCGTTTTTGTTAGAGGAGCTCGAACATGTTGAATTTCGTGTATCTTTTGCTTTACTGTTTACAATCATCCAAGGAAATCGACGTTATGGTCCCTACGTAAGTTATAGTTCACTCGAAGGTATTGAAGAAGGAGACACGTTCGCTGGAACAAGAGCTTTATCCGCCTGACGTTTCATATTACTTCTCGAACCCATCATCAGAGACAAAAGCAGATAAGGGTGGTTCATGTATAAGGGGCTACAGTTTTTATAGGATGCAGTCGCCATGCTACCGCATGCTTATGGACATTCACGGCTCCCCCCTTCATCAGGGGTCGTTGCACGTGGTGTGATGGCCGACATTCGCGTCCTTTTTTGCTGCAATTTCATCACGTGCGTTGGATGTTGGTGTGATGATTGCTTGGCCATCTGACGTGCTGGCCCTAATGTTGGGAAAAGTGTTCACCGGCGCGCTCCCCGCGTGGCTTATTACTCAGCCTAGACTAGGTCTCAGCACCGAGTATGGAATGAGAAGGTCATTGCACTTGTTAATTGACTGGGGCCCAATAAACAGTGATTCAAGTAGCTCCCCGCTCACGCGGTTGTCACCTCTGGCGAGAATTTCAGCCTCGTCGAATTTGAACGTCTGGCCGGATCTTGTCGAATGAGCCGCAACTTGAGAGCTAGCGTCATTTCTCCGCACCGTTGCAGCGTATCGACCATTCGCGTTCGGAGCTGTCTTCCGGTTACTCCGACGTAGTTGCTTTGCCCGCAACTGCACCAGATCCAATAAACGACTCCAGGCGTTTCCTGCCGTGGCAGTGGGTCTTTCGGTTTCAGTAACTGGCGCCTGATGGTTGCCTCCGGTCTGTCTGTAACTGCAACCGCAAGTGGTGCGAGAAGGCTGCCGGCAGCTTCCTGAACGTTCTTGACATATGGAAGGTACTTTGAACAGGAGCTGCAAAAAGGCCCGCAGCTCCGATTCAGCTAGCGCCTGATGTTTTGTGCACACCTCAAATAAAAATAACGATCTTCAAGAAAGCGAAGGCGGCCATTGCCCAAAATGGCATACTAAATGCCGCGTTTCACCATAATCAAACGTTCTTACTGAAGAAGGCGTAACTTGCGGAGGTTGAGTGTGAAAAGTATTGTTAGCGCCTTCGTTTTATGAATGCATACAAAGCAATCAACAGGTATTTTTTAACTGAAACAGCGTGAAAAAGTCACTGTTGTTTTTGCTGTTTCCATTTCACTGTTGACAGGCCTTCAAGGGAATCAACCGTTCGCAAGTTAAATTCTAATCAAAGGTACTCTGACTCGATGCTGTAAAAAATGTCCGCTTCGTCAGGCTTACCACAAAGGTGTGCATATTTGAGGAAGAAAAGTGAAATACCAGCACTGTTAGTGCCTCAAATAAAATTAAAGATCAAGCGATTAATTTCATAAATTATTCAGTGCAGGACATGGGGTTAAGTCTCCGGGACATGGCTGACCGTAAAAAGTCGCACGCCGGAGAATTAGCTCCATGTGCTGTGCTGAATAATTTGTGAAATTATTCGCCTGATTCTCCTCTGAAGTTCATATACCAGAAACCGCATAGGGGACGCTGGGGGACTCACTGAGGCGCGGAATCCCACACAGCGGCAGAATATCGGCGAAACGCGCGTCTGGGTTTTTAGCTAGTTTTTAGCTTTGCCAAAATTAATGATCTTCAGAGGAGATGGTCATGGGAGCACAACTAAGGGCGCTTGTCGCACAACGCGTGACTAACAGAGGTCGAATAGCAACAATACTATTAGAGCCTCCGTTTTATGAATCTGGGGAAAGTCAACCTCTTATATGGCTTCGTTGTACATTCCAGTAAGCTTGCTTTATTGACCTTAAACTCCCTGAGTCGAGAAGGAGTATTGACACGAACTTACTCTCATTGGTTCCTGCACTCAGTGTCTAATCCAAATTCTTTTTGACTTCCGTCCTTATCAGCGCCGCTCGACCCCAGCAGAATGGGTCGAAAGGAACTGAGCGGGTTTTGCGTCAATAATAAGACAGCCGAGACACTCTCCGGGCGTCCTGACTGCTGCTTCGCCGAGTCGGGTCCAAGCTGGCTGACTCCACGACGGACTAGCAACTCCGTCTACCAAGTGGACTTCCAGCCCTACGGCCGCAGGCCTATTGAAGTGAATGAAGGCGGTCCGGCTTCAGTTATGTCCGATGGATTCATCTTGAACAACAAAGTCCAGCAGGACTTTGTCCCAAGAAGAACTGACAAGGCGAGTGTCACCTCCTACTTACCTAATCCTTTTTCCGTTTTACGGATTGAGAAATCGTAGTGTAAGGACTCCCTAAGATGTCCGCCCGGATGCATACGGCAAATTAGTGTTTGTATGTATCCCAATATACAATTAAATGCAGGAAGGGGTTTTAATGATATAAAATAAGCCGAAAGAGTCCTCCATACAAGACAGATTTCGAAATTAGACTAACAAACAAAACGCGTGCCAGTTGAAAAGGTACATGGGTTAGCCTATTTTATGCACTGTTAACCGAAATTTTGAAGTCTGTTTTCGATGAGAAAGGACTACCCGAGTGGGCTTGGGTTATTCCCTCTCTCACAGCATAATCCCAAAACATTCAATTCACAGCAGAAAGCTGACTTTTGCATGTGTTCCTGCAAAAACCACATTAGGCAAGGAATTGCCATTTAGGTAATATGAAATTATTAATTAATTCTTGCTGTTCATATATTTATCTATATATATCTTGCAACAACATGCACAAAATCTCCTTTCCTGTGACCACCTTTAGCGGATTACGTGCTCTTCAAAATATATAGTCTAAGAAAGGGCGTCATTCGATTTTTAAAAAAAGGTTTTTTCACTTCCCGTGTAATTTTAAACCCCAGTCGTCTTTGCATTCACGTTTAACGTTTGCAACATGCAAGTCGTACACTTTTCATGTAAGCAGAATAACATATTTTTTATGTCATCAAGTAGATGCCATGCAGAATTCATAAACTTTTGAGCTGAATGTGGAGTATTCCGTGAAGGGTGTTAGCGCACGGACGACTATGATGCTATCTGAACGGACATTTTACAGTGTTCAGAAAATCTCAAAATTACGAACCCTTCTCAAACCGTAAGATACCACTTCTTCAGATATAAATTTTATAGAAGACGTGGCTTACCAATAAAAGAGCACAAAAAGGATATATATACGTACTTTTTCTAAAAAATACATTCGAACTTATATGGTCAACGAAAGTCGGTAGGCAAAATGTATACTACACAAGCAGTCATTTTTACCGAGGGTGGTTTTTGCTGGCGACTGAAAAGAAGCGTTATCAAACGCCGGCATCCCGACATGAATTACACTGCACGACAATGTTACAGCCCCACTTTAGTAAACCCTTCTAATCGAAAACATATTTCAGAATTTCGGCTAACATTTCATGAGGTACGCCACCTACGACAGTTCGACCTTTGTTCGACCGACGATATCCGCCGTGTGCTCCACAGCAGGATGAGAGCGGAGACGGTAACTTGCGCGTAATTTAGTTCATAGTCAGAGTAGACTTGCGCTGCATCTACCACACTCTCCCCTCCTGCCATCCACTTGGCCCTGTGTCAAGACAGAGTCAAGAAGATCGGAGGTGCGAGGGGACACAGGTGGCTGGCAAGACGAAGACCAGCACCTAGGCGTACCGCGACACCTCCTGGTCCACACAAAAAATAGCCAGGATTTTACACTAAAGGAAGGAAGAAGTTGGCTCAGATCTCACGGGATGAGAGTGCCATACGAGTCAAATTAAGAAGGAGCCATTGCAATCGCCTACTGTATACTTCACTGCTGTGTTAAAAGCACGCTCTTAAATGGAACTCACAGAGCAAAGTTTTAAATTCGACCATTTAAGTCTGGAGTTTTCACCTAAGTCCTTTTCTTTAGATAAGATTACTCTTACTTGCCTCACAGGTCTTTGTCAAGGCTGAGGAACTGCCTTATGGAAAACTCGACAAACTGAAGAAAACCGATCGCGCAGAATACTGGAACGCCTATAACGCAAGTCGGTATCCGAGGTGTGTTTGTATAAGTGCAATAATTGTCTTTTATCTGTTAGGCCTCAGATGAGTCGCATGATAGAACGGGTGCAGGTTTTCTGTCACGCTGATTGTACTTTCTACTGTGTTCTCTGTGAGTCGGGGCTTAAAATACATTAAGTTTATCAAGCAGGACTACTGACATTTATTTGTAACTTACGAGTCTTCTTTGCAATTACTAATGATTGCATTCTTCGACATTTTCGCCGTCGTTTTACGATACCTGCTGAAATAAGATAACCTTCCCTGATGCGACTAACAAGAGGTAACGCTGTCTAATCTCATATAAGACAGATGAGATAACTTAAAACTCTGTTCACAGAAAGCGAAATGTCTCCCACTTGAGATGATGAAATGCCAACTAACCCAGAGACGTCTACTGTTCACTACACGGAGGAAGAGCTTAGCGGTAAGACGACAGGGCCCATTCAGGTTGGCTGCAATGGCTCTCTTAGCGGCCGCAAAGTACGCACCCGTGCAAACCCTTTTGACCTAGATGAGTAAGACTTTGTAGGCGTGCCGGAGACAAATATGACACCAATTGCCGATTGATTTATGACCTCATTTCCAAAGGTCTTGACTTACATGAACTAGAATAACTACAGTAAGTAGGCTAACTTTTGAAATCTCAACAGAAATTGCGAATTGCGGTTTAAAAAAGTTCCATATTATGAGCTTTTTTAATACCGTGAAATGGCCCTTCATAAAACGTCATGTCTCTGCATTTATCAATGTGGCTTGTAAAGTTAACAATGTGGCTCGAGTCCACTGCCTAATTTTATGAACACTATATGGTCTCCTCCCAAAACCGTAGAGAAATGTATGATTTTCCGTACGCAGAAATTTTACGGCTTGTAGTTTGGGAACCCTGGATGCAAGTGTAACGGCAGGTTGGGTTCAAAATTATTCGGGATTGGAAAAGTTTTATAAAACCAAATTATATCCTTCCTTCGAGTGTAACATTAAAAGAAGACGTAATTTTCTACTGACTGAGCAAAAGAATGAATACTTTTGTGCATGTTTCAATAAAATATAATTGAATCTTTAAGGGCATCGAAAATCAATGAAAAACATGCATGTTACATAAGTAGTCATTTTGTACGGAGTATGGTTCTTGCATGCATTCAAAAAGAAGTTTGTTCGAAAGCCGGTGTCCTGGCGTAACTGAATTATTATAGAATTATGCTGCATGATAATTGATTTTACAACCCTACTTGATTAATCTTTTCGAAACGGAAACGCATTTCGGAATTTCTGTTGACATTTCATGAGTCAGCCCACCTACTCTATAAGAACACAATTTCATGGTCGAATTGCCTAACACACGACAGTTCGTCCGTCGATTTCGACGATGACCACCGTGTGCCCCACAGACTGCATTGTGGGAGCAGGGACGGTGACTTGCGCAGGGGTTTATAGTGCCAGTAGACTTGCGCTGCATCTACCTACACTCTCTCCTCCTCCCCCGCCTGGGCCCGGTGTCAAGACAGAGTCAAGAAGACCGGAGACGAGGGAGGCCGCAGGTGGATGGCTCAGACGGATCTTCGCCTTGGCGCTCCACTCCGCACCCCTGGTCCACACACCAATGACCAGGATTTTGACCACAAAACAATGGGGTGGAGGCAGTGGTCCAGTTGAGCGACGAATGCCGCGACAACAGGGTCCGCCAGCGCACCCCGCAAATGTTGGCATTTGTTATTGCGCACATATAACGCCTGCCAGAGTCCGATGTGGCCCCCGTGTTGGTCCAGCGCATCTAACACGTGGCCCGTTCTGAGGGCACGCCTAACACACAATTAGTAGTCCAATTGCATTCACGGCCGGTGATGTGAAAACCTCTCAGGTAAAAACTGTGGTGTTACAGTATGCGCACAGACCGGAGGTATGTTTACCTACCGACCATTACCGTCTCCTTTCGCCGGAGTGCATGTCCGCCCGGAAGAAATTTATGAGACTGAGCAAACGTCCAGGGACTAAGGTGCATTTTCTCGACATAGGGGTCCCCTACGTGGACGAAGCAGCTGATTAGCGTCTGCATTAGGTTAAGCAGTATCTCAATAGTTGGGAAGTCTATAAAGGAGCAGCTGGTATGGAACCTCGCCAGGAATATTTTCATACTCGCTGCAAGACTTATCAAAGCTCCTTATCGCGACGCTGGATTTAAAATTTATAATATGGAGCCTGAAGGCTGTTGGCGAACTAGTGTCTCAGTGACTCTTGCCCTCAGGTCGACTTGGCTTTGAATCATTGATTTCGCCTGCTAACAAAGACCGTGGAGATTCAATTAACGGAGCAGTTTTTTGTCCGGCTCAAGCTGACTGCTGGACAGAAGGCGCTCCCGACTGACTTAAGGGGAGAGAGAGTGGACTTCACCGCCTAAAAACTAGAGTATGAGCTTTACGTCTTACAATAGAGCAATCCCCCGGAATCCTTCAAGGTGGTTGTTGGGAAAACGAGAAACTATCGTTTGAGAGCCCTTAACGTCCATTACAACGAAAGACTGAAGTGAACTTTTTTGATTTTTGCCATAAGCAACCAATCAAGACCCCGAAAGTGTTGTATGAGAGTACAGTACGTGACCTATCTCATGAAATCTAATAACGAAACTGATGAGAGAATTTCTGGACGTCTTTGAGGTTGCGCATTTTGTTCGCTCATCAACATCATTCAATGAAATGTCCTTGTGCAGAAATTGTGTTTACGTAATTATATCGAGTAAAATATTAGTGAGTTATAGCGAAAATGGACGTTAGAATATATTTGTGCAATTTCCTATGCTATTACATGCCATAGACTCCGGTTACGCATCTGAGTGACTTTTTCAATGAAAACATAGTAAGTTACCCGGGAGGGTTTATTAGACAGACTTAGCCGAACTTGAAAATTTAATTTATGTGCGATGTTAACCGTGGTAATTAACCTGCTAACACAAAGGTTATTTTAAGAAAACCAGAGATTTTATCAATTCCTAAATGTCAAATTAGCATATCGGTGCGATTTGATGCATGTCACTTTATGAAAACATTTGTGCCTACGATGTCGCCAACGGTGAAATCAAGCAAAATCCAGTTTATCTTGTTGAATTCATCTCATTTAACTCAAACGAGTCAAGGATAACACGACTCCCTGGATAACTGTTTTGGAATTTACACTCAGAATTTTGGCAGTTGACAAACCGTCATATGTGAAATCACACTAATTATTAAATGATATTAAGATGTAAACTTCACTGAACCACTATTATTAGACGTTATTTTATTTCTACTTTTATATTTACTACGTTTTTGGTACGAGAATACATTATATACGTCGAAAAAAGAAGTTTACCAAATTAGAACCATTTCTGACGTTTTCTGGATATTGCGCTTTTCTAAAGAAATCTGCAGTTTTAGACAACACAACACTGCCTTTAATATTTCCTTTATGTTTTTAATTCTTTTAAACTTGTACTTAGTTAACATAGACATTGGACTTATGAAATGGTGTCGGCTTGCGAGTGATTGTCATTCATTCGTAAATTTCGACACATTTAATGAGTTGGGTCACTACTTGTATTTTATTTTTAAAAAAACTATAATGGGCCAAAGCTTTACTCAGATATTAACATTTTGGCTATTAAAATATCAGGAGTCCCCTGACAATTTGCCCTTTCGACGAACTGTTCGTTGGGAGCATGACTATTTGTCGCGAACTTTTTGTCCATTTTAGTATAACCCATGATGAGTACAAGTATCCTCCACATGAGGAAAGGATGAAAGTGCCCGACGCCTCGGACAGCGAGCTGAAGAAACGCGAGTCTACCGGAACCATACGAAATATACCGCCCGTGTTAGACGGCCTTCCCTGTGCTCCCGATCACTTCGTGACGCACAATATGACAACTGTGAGTCCCTGTCAAGCTTCTATGCTTCGGAATTCTTTCAGTAATATGTTATGGTTGCTCAAGCGGTCGAAAGAGAAGCTCAGCACTTGACGACGGGTCAAGTACTGGCCAATTTGCCCTCGAACAGGAGGCTGGTGGATTATTCGCTAGTGAATTAACTCAATCGATTTAACTTAATGATCTGTTTTAAATTTGTTCAGTATACGCGGGTCTCTGATAAGTTGCCTAGCAGACTATCATCGTGGATGGAAAGTTCTGCTTCCAGACACAGTTAATTTTATATATTTCTTAGAACGTACTTCTGGACTTCCAGTCATGAGCTTACTCAAATAAAGCACGCATTTAATCAAAAATCAATAATTAATTGACATGTATTTCCTCGCCTATTTTCGATGGTTGCAAGACTAAGTCAAATTTTCGGTCAGACGTGGTCACGTACTCGCATCTGAGACAAGCGAACCCCAGCCACCTGTAAAACCGAACCGGTGGTAATAGGGGTTTTAATAGGTGGGGCCGTAGAACGCACAGCCAACGAGGTCAAGTAATTGTATGCAAAAAGAATATCTATTGAAAATGTGCGGTTGTACTTTGAGTGGTTGAGAAATAGTTGCTCTAACGCTTAACCGTAACCCTTAACCCCTAACCCTAAACACTAACCATAACCTCTGACCTTAACACTTAACCCTAACCCCCAACCGCTAACCCTCACCCCTAGTCAGAGTCCCTAACCCCTAACCATAACCGCTAAGCATAACCCCCAACCCTTAACCACAGCCTTATTGTGAGTCCCTATCAAGCTTTTATGCTTCGGAATGTTCCAAGTAATGTGCTATGGTCGCTCAAGTGGTCGAAAGAGAAGCTCGGCACTTGACGACGGGTTTAGTACTGGCCAATTTGCTCTCAAACAGGGGGCTGGAGGGTTATTCGCTAGTGAATTAACTCAATCGATATAACACCAGGGAACTTATTGATCCGCTTGAAATTTGTTCAATTTGGATGGGTCCCTGATAAGTTGCCTAGCAGAGTATCATCGTGGATGGGAAGTTCTGTTTGCAGACTCAGTTAATTTCCTGTATTTTATAGAATGTACTTCGGCCACCTGTAAAACCGAACCGGTGGAAATAGGGGTTTTTATAGGAGAAGCCGTGGAACGCGCAGCCAACGAGGTCAAGTAATTGTATGAAAAAGAAAATCTATTGAAAATGTACGGTTGTACTTTGAGTGGTTGAGAAATAGTTGCTCTAACACCTAACCGTAACCCATAACCCCTAACCCTAACCACTAACCATAACCTCTAACCTTAACACTAACCACCAACTCCTAACCCCTAACCATAGTCCCTTACCCTAACCCCTTACAACAACCGTTAACCATATCTCAAACCTTACCCTAAGCCCTAGCGCCTAAACCCGGCTCCAACCCTTCAATCCTAACCCCAACCCTTAACCGCAGCTCTACTGTGAATCTCTGTCAAGATTTTATGCTTCGGACTTTTTCAGGTAATATGTTATGGTCGCTCAAGCGGTCGAAATGGAAGTTCAGCATTTGATGATGGGTGTAGTACTAGCCAATTTACCCTCAAATGGGAGGCTTGGGGGCTATTCGCTAGTGAATTAACTCGATCGATAATTTATGATCCGTTCTAAATTAGGGTAAGATGTAGTTATGCAGCCGCACCTGATGGACGCAGTACTGTTAACTTACTTAGTTATTCTGAGTTGGTGATTACGTTGGCATGGTACTGCTGTGCGTTGCGGTGTGTGTGTTTTGTTGGCGGCCTTGTTTCCTTGTTGCCGTGTCTACCTTTTTTGGCCCAATGCCAGTCGTCCTTCTTGACTTTCGGCCTGTCGTCTCCTTCTAACTTTCGCGTTGGATGTTTTAGGGTTAGGGTTTAGGGCTGCAGCTAAGGGTTGGGGTTAGGTTTAGGGGTTAGGATCAGGGTCAGGGTTAGAGGGTTAGCGTTAGGACTTAGGGTTAGGGTTAGAGCTAGGCGTTAGGGGGGGGGGTTAAAGTTAGGAGTTAGGGTTAGGGGGTAGAGTTAGGACAGCTGTTTCTCAACCACTCAAAGTACGACAGCGCATTCCCGATAGCTTGTATGTTGCATACGGCTACTTGATCTCATCGCCCGTGCGTTCTCTGACCCAACCTGTAAAAACCCGTCTTACCACCGGTCTCGTATTACAGGTGGCTGGGGTTTGTTTACGTCAGATGCGGCTACATAACCATATGTGATCTAAATTAGCTCAGTATGGATAGGATTCTGGTAAGTTGCCTAGCAGACTATCATCGTAGATAGGAAGTTCCGCTTCCAGGCTCAGTTACTGTCATATACTTCGTAGAACGTACTTCGGACTTCCAGTCGTCAGCCTACTCAAATGAAGCATCCATTTAATCAAAAACAGTACTCACTTGTCGTGTATTTCCCTCACTACTTTCGATGGTTGCATAGACTCTGCCCAATTTCCTAAAGAAACTGCTCAAAGATTATTTTTCTCCCAACTTTTTAGAGCGATGTCCTCATTAGATTTTTAAAAAGCGACTGCATTTTGGCCTTAAGGGAATTTTTCTAAACGCGCCTATAAATTTTCTCTGTAAGTACGGTTTGTAAAGTAGACCTTTAGTACTCTCTCTCTCTCTAAGATACAATTCCAGAGACCAATTTCCAGATTTTAATAAAGTATTGCAATGAATGTGGACCATTCTGTCCAGAAATAGACCAGTAGCATTCATGTAAGATTCTTAAAATTATAATGTGAATGCATTTTCCAAAGCCAAAATGCAATTACCCTCGTCGATCACGCGTGTTGCATTCCAGAATCGCCGCGAAAAGCGAAAATCCACTATGTAAAAACCATATGTTTTAATAGTCTTTTGGACTAATTAATGAAGTCAGAATTTATAACAAAGCTGCCAGCATTGCCCACATGACTAGTGTCATGCGATCGTTTTGGGTCTTAACCTCCGGGACGACTGCATCTTCCTTCCTGACAAAAGCAAGAGACGACATCCACTCCTAAAATAGGGCAGTCTCATCTATTTGGTCATGCCAAGGATCGTTTTGAATGACTGCGGCTTTGCCTGCGGAGACAGGATCTCCATGCAGGTGCATGTTGGCCAAATTAATTCTTTCCCTGCATTTTCCACTCCATCCCCCTGCTAGCAGTAAATTTACTTTTCTTGCTGGGGGTGTCAGTAGAAGTTCCCGGCTGAGAGTCGTCGTCTAATGCATCCCCGGCACCAAAAAATCTCTCATGAAGTAGGTTGGACTTCTCTTGGATGATATTAGTGTTTTCGGATATGCCCTTCCGGCAGTCCCCAATCGAACTCCCCGAAGCAGATTTCAGCCCAAGTACAACTCGTCTTGCCCCCCGGATAAACGACATTGAGATCGTAGAATTCACTTTATTTCCATCCTTTCTAATATAACAAACTTTTTTGCTGGCGCTTTGGCGTGTCGTCGGAAATAGTGGAAGAAGCAGATCGTTTTTGAGGCATAATAAAGGGTATAAAATGTATCATTTTAAGCAGCGAAGTCTGGTGGTGCCTCATGAGCGAGAGGACATGCTTTCTAACAAAAAGCGGAATATGATGCTGCTCTCCGCCGAGCCAATCAACGCCCAGGAGCCTAATGTCGTGCTCTGATAGGGTAGATTCTCAGCCAGCCATCAATAGCCTCCCATATATGAAATTAACTGGGTAAACTAAGTACCAGGAATGAAGGGGTCCAATGTCCACAGAAATCCGCAAATCAGCAAAAAAAATCGTGGTAAAGTGAAGCTGTGAAGGTCCACGGGCGATATGGCAAGAGCTAACTGCATATCTTTTCGGCATAGTATTTCAAAAAAGCATAAATTACAACAAGATGGCCATATAAAATGAACGCTTGTGCGTTATTTATGGAGACATGAGTCATTCTGTACAGGCAGAGAAAAATGGGCAAAAAGATCGTTTTCCAGATATGACTTGGTATGTTTGACCAAGTACCAGCTTGCTACCACGCAGGAACTAATTCATAAATCCCCTGTGCGTCGAATAAAAGGCTTACTCTAATTTTAACTATCTGGTGCGAATCTGTGCCAAGGAACTGATCATTATTAGATACCCAATGTTTCTTCTGGCCTCGTTTAAACGTTCCGGATGAAATCTCTCGTTGAGAAGCAAGTTGCTTACATACAACCCGTGCCACGTAGTAATACACCTACTGAAATTGGCCAGAAAAGACAGCTGTTGCGGAGATTACATCTGTTTATGTTCATGTGATACCCTCTGGGTTCAGGTCACCGCCGTAGGGGCTGCGGCCGCGCAGCAAATATTTGAAAAAACATTGCCCACTGAGAAGGAACTAGTAGAAGCAGTGAAATACGGTACTTTTAGTCCATCGTCGTGTTTATGCACTCCCGCTTGGTTCTCGATCGCAGTAGTTAGGTAGCGATTCCTCAGGACGAATAGGCATTCAGTAAACCAAAAGTAACTGCTTCCTAAGTCTTTAATGCCCCTTTCGAACAATGACTTTTAGTACTTACTTAAAAAATCCTATCGACTAAAACAAAGACATTGGAATGCCTACTTTGTCTTACTCGTCGAAATCAGCCGATGATGCGCTAAGCTCAGACTACAAACCAAAAAGCTGGAGCGGAGAAGTTGACCGCCCACCAACACCCTCATCGTTCCGGCACCGCCCACGCCTACCGGGCTGATGTCAGGAAAAGTTATTGACAAGAGAATGACCTATTGAGGGTCCTCCTGATTTTGGGCCAAAATGACTTTCGCGTTCTGCCTAGAAGTTATGAGATATACCACCCACGCAGCATTTCGTATGTAGGCTAACATGCAGCAATCGATAAGATTTTGCTGACATATAAAGGGTCCCAGAATGGCCATTTCCGGCCTATATGGCGTTATTAGTCGAGTTACTGCACTCCGAGGCCGCACATATGTGCTTGGAACTAGCGTAAGTTGATCACTTAACTACGGACTTGAGTGCCGTTGATTGATAATAAGTGTATCCGGTGGATTCATAAGTCTGTATGATGCTAATAGTGGTCTGTTAGCAACTGTTTCCGCCGGGAGATGAAACTATTTTCTCCGAGATGTCAAGCAGACCGTTTTTGACCCACTGCGGTATAATATTGACTTGCCCGCAAAGACCATCGAATACTGTATGCGAAGTAGGCAAAGAAATGCAGCTGAGTGTAGTAGATATCAAAATGATTGAAAAACTGGATCATATGTTTATTTATGTCCATGAACGAAGGAGATTAGATCGATCGGTTGTCTGCTGTGATAAAAACTATATGGAGGGGAAACCAATTCAAGAACTATAACGTGGCCAGACTTCCTAATTAACATCCCTGATTATTTCTAATTACCACAATCACAGTGGTATCTTGTGATCATTTGCTTTTTTCATAGCCGTAATGGGCCTGCGGGTTAAGCATAGAGCTCGCCGTCTGGCTGCATAATCCGTTACAGATCGTAGCGACGAGGAGGAGGAGGGGGAGGAGGAGGAGAAGAAGAAGAAGAAGAAGAAGAAGGAAGGAGAGGAAGAGGAAGGGAGGAGGATGATGAGCAGTCAAGCGATCATTTCCTCGATCGCATATGTCAGCCTTATTTGCAAATATAATTTAAAAATCTGCCCATATTCTGCCACTTAGAGAGTAATATGCAACCGATAATGTGAAACTTTTATCATGCTAACACAAAAGTGAAAAATGAGCAGGTTTATCGCGGACACTGGGAGCACTTGATTTAAGTGCTGAGGGGAGAGTCAAAAAATTCTATTTCGCATGCGTAGGTTTTTGCGTTGGAAAGACGTGAAACATTGTTATGTTCTGTCGTATGGAGAAAATCGAAATTATGACTCAGGTTTAGAGGTGCTGAAGATCCGAAATCTGTTCGCCATTTCCTATCCAAGCTAAACTGCCCTATAATTTCGATTCATAGGTATTTTGGCAGATTGCGAATGGTTAATATTGACCTAACTGTGAAAACTTCGGCTCCTCGGTGGGATTCGATCCTACGACAGCATGGGGAAGGCTTTAGTACAGCCGACGATTTACCCACTTGAGCTACGAGGCCCATTGGATTCCAGGTAGATTACGTAGGAAATACTGGTTGGTCAGTTAGCTTACGGTATCAGATTCGATGGATTCCAGACGATGCAGTAGGTTAGGCGTGTAACTTGACCCATATGTGATTAGACTCGCGTCTTCCGGTGGGGCCTCGTAGCTCAGATGGTTGGGGTGTTGGAGGTACTAAAGCCTCCTTGCTATCGCGGATTTGAATCCCACCAAGGTGCCGAGTTTTTCACAGCTGGGTCAATATAAATTATGATTTAGACACGCAAAAAACGAATGAACAGCTTTTTATTTCTGAATTCCACTACTGCCCCTGCTACTGCCTCTTAATTTGTTAGTCTGCAGTTGCCACAAACGACGTGCTATCTCTAGGTGAGGAGATTCTAAAAGGCCCTCCGGAAAGTGTAAGAAAATGCACGGAACTCGCACGGCGAGTAATAGTAAAAAAACTTCTGCATAAATTAGCAAAAGTGGAATCTTAAAAATTAATTTATTTGTATAAATGAACATCGCATGTTTTTGTTCTTGTTTTCGAGTAGAAAAATTCTAATGGGTTCTTTTTAATTAGTATTATTGGACGGCGCCGAGAGAAGGATCGGATAGACAGGGATGTGTAAACATGAATACCCTTGACATACAACCTTCTGGATTCGTCTTGGGAACCAAACTCAATGCGATGGAATCTCAGACGGAGGCGATAAAACGGTTACCTGAGCTTTCCAACTACCAGGGAAAGTAATTTTTTCTTTATCTACAACGTGCGCTTTCTTAGAACAAATATATTTGCTGGAGAATTAGTGGCACCTAAAGGAAAAGCAAGCATTGATACGTCCGATTTAAGTACAGTGTGAAAAAGGGTCCAGCCAAGACGTCTGTGATATATAAATAATGAGAATGAAACGTTAGTGGTTTTACCGATTAAATTTAGGCTTCTATATTGGTCACCTCGAAGATGGCGACAAGGATATGGTGCATGCTAAGCAGGTTCAATTAGACTGCTATTAGTTGTGAATCAGCAAACATTCAGGACTGTGGAGCCGTTTAAATCAAACCCCGCTTCGATTGCAGTGAAAAAATTTCAAATCGGGTGGCATTCATTAGTACTCCCAGATGCCCAAGTGATTGCACTTTTTAGATATTCAGTAAGTTGGGTCTAATGTACCTACCATTCGCATGAGATGCCTACTAGTGCAAAAGCACAAAGGAACTGATTTGATCCGTCAAGGCAGTTTCACGCTCCGTTCAGTCTCTTGCGCCAGCTCAGACAATTAGCAATCGTCAGAAGGGTATATCCCATTCATGTTCTAATATCTGTTTTACCCTTTCTGCTCTGTGCGCGTAGATAGCTGATAAGTTTAACCAATAGGTTACGCCACCATCCGGTCCTGAGCATTCAGTTTTCATCGAATTTCATCGCCTCTCTGCAGTCAATCCCGTAACCTATCTGTAGAGTCGTTCCGATTGGACGACGGACGCATTCCAAGTAAATCCACCATTTCGATGAAATCCACAAAAGTCTCTAGCCTACTTGAATGGGAATTTCCCGACTTAAGCCGGCCAACGACGTCGCTGGTTTCCGACAACCCATAGTATCACTGTTGGAGGGATTCCACAAATTCCACAAGGCCAAAAAGTGGAAATATTAAGGCTGGGAAGAGACAGGAGATAGGTTGATTACTTCGACCTATCGATTTTCTGTGCAAATTTTGCGACTGTAATCCAAGGGTGCCTTAAAACTGTTGTCGACATGTTTTGCTATATTTAGACGGTTCAAAGATAACAATGCTGTGTTTTGAGCGAAGTTGCTTCCCAGATGTTCTCTGCTTTATAGGAGCGTTGTCGCCAGAGAGGAGATTTCAACAGCCCCTACTAAAATGTTGGCGTGAAAGGTCTTTGTTCTCCGAGCCAGCAAGAAAAAGGAGCAGGCATGCCCGCCCGACGGCCGGCAGATTGGATATTCAAGCTCATTAAAAGAACTTTACCTGTAAAATAATAAACAGACTTATTTGCATAATGTTCCCTTCCCGTAACTGATGAAAGACAAGTCTGGTTGCTAGCTCTGTGATTATACTAGTGACACTGGGCTTATCATACTTCTTTTTAATGCTCTATCGCCTGCTTGCCACTCGCATGAAGGGGGTTGCCATATTAGAACTTTTGAACGGTAGCAAGTTAACCCTTAGGCTCAAGTAAAAGGACAGCTAACTGTCCTTCATCACTTTATCGATGAAACAAATAACTTATTAGTACAGAGTGTTTCCAGCAAAAAACGGAAATCCATAGCATAAAATAGTCGGCGAATACAATTATTGTCCCTATCAAGAGCATGTTATGATTGGTAAGTGGCAGCATACTGAGCAGGCTTAGCATCGGAGACCGAATTGTTGTGAGCTCACCTTAAACATATGTTATGTAGCTAACTGTCCCTCAATAAATCACCATTCCCTCAACCAAATTAGTCCTTCAACCCCCTAAGACTCGTCTCGGATTTCCTGAAATTTTTCCCCTCTTTTAATCCGACCGTACGCCCTGTGAATGATTTTCGTTTGTTATTTTAATGCCCGCCTCGAGATACGTTTTCCTCATAGGCTATTAGCAAGCAATAGAAATTAGGCAACTGCTTTTAATCTACTTTGATAATCAGGTTGAGATTCAACTTCAAGCTCGAAATGTCAGAAAATAATGCACCGCGCTGTTGCCTACGTCAATAAAGTAGCCAATTTCCCACGTTTAATATTAGTTACATCGACGCTTATATTGACGATTTCTTTAGAACAAGGCCGCGCAATATTCGGGTTGGGCGTGCAAGACGCAAGCGACCACGACGAAATCCGAGCTGGGAAACGCAGTGTAGGTTTCTCTATTCCGGATGCATCATTAGATGCCTTTTAAAAAGTTGTTCTATGACCTTGTACAAAATGCAGGTCAGGCCACTAGGACAGTAATTTTCAGACTCAGGCCTCGACCCTCCTATAGCAAAGGAATAGATTTCCGCTGACGTTAATATGTTCCAGCACCTGCTGGGAAGTGTGTGCAGCCTTTGAGATCAAAAAAGACATTTGAGAGCATTCGGAAGTTGTGTAACCACGGTCAATCAAAACTGATTTGAGAAGCGAATAAGAAGCTAATCAACCTCCGATACTCTCATAAGGTTTTTCAACCAGAATACTCCCCACCAGAACGTCATAAGCACTGTGAACTAGTGACGGAACTGAAAAGGGGACTTGTAAATGGAGAATTCAACCTGGCCATTCTCAGGGAAAGAGATATACGGAGGGGCGCGGTGCTGCTATGGCAGCAGTCAATGCCGACTCTAGCGACGGCAGCGTAATAACAGAAGCTTAAGGCTAACTGAGGTAAATACTGCCAAATTTTCCAAAATGAGTAGGTTTTCGAAGCTCGACGAAGTGCAAATACAGGTAGTCCATACATCTCCAGATGTTATAGCAATAACAGAAACGTGACTATCACAAAGCGGTATCGATTGCGGAAAAGCGCTATCGGGATACCGATTATTTAGGAGAGACGGAAAGGACCACCAGAGTACAGAAGTTGTCATGTGCTTGAAGAACAGCTTAGTCGTGTTTAAGAAGACTGAGAAGATTACTGACAACACCAAGGCTTTTTGGCTGACGGTAAATGCACGGTGACCGTAGTCCCTTGAAGTCAAGACGGTCTATCGACCACCGAGGACGGATCACGAAGCAGATACTTGTCTGCTGAATAACATAAAGTAGGTCACTAGTCAACCTGATATTTTTTACATGGGTGACTTCAGTGTAATCGGCATTCGATAGAGCCAAATGCAAACGCAGTGCTCGAAGTGTTCCTTCAATTGCTTCCTAAAGACAACACTTGGAGCTCTTCTCACACAGCATTCCTCAGTTCCAACAAGCGCGCGTGGAAAACAACAGGCTAACTGTTTGGATCCTGACAGGAAGACGTGGTATACAGCTGATCTCCACTCGTTTGAAGTGATCATACACTACTTTTACGGGAGTTATGTCTAAATTCTGTACCGTATGCAATAAAGGGAATGAGGTCAAATGCATGCAAAGAGGATTCGAAAGATGAGAAGTGGGGCATCACGAATAGACTGTGATGTTTCCTTTCGCAAAAACGTCACAGGGTATGGATAGTTAATTAGTGAACGTTTGTTGCATCTCATGGATTAACACTGTCATTATCAGGGCCCTGGAAAACGAACCGGCCTCAGTGAATATCATGCGATCCAAAAAAGAACTTTAGGATGGGAGTTTGCAAAACGACGTAACTCTAGCCTGTGAGGATCATGAAATCTAAAAGAACAAGGTACAGGACTTCGTTTTTAAAAGACAGCCGCATTTTGACAGTAGTTGGCTCCAGCGCGCTTTTAAAGATCCTTAAGTTCTCTACAGCTACTTGGAAAAGGACACACGTAACAGGAACCCGATATTTGTTATAAGGAAAGATTAGGGTGTCAAGATACCTAACAGTAAAGACGAAACTACCAATTCTTCACAGTTCTTCCAGATAGCCTTCACAAGTGAAGCGGACATCCACCTATACACGAGGGTATAGGCGTTCCACTAATCAAAAGAAATTGGAACAAGTCAAGGAAACATATTTCTGTGGTACAGAAGTTATAATTTTTGCTTGATAATTACATAGACCAAACTACCATAGACAACTTGGTAGTCTCCATGCCCTCTCGCCTTACAGCAACTTTAAAAGCTAAAGGACAATCAACAAAGTACTAACACGTTGTATTTGCCACTGTTTTTAATTTCTTGGCGTTTTGTGCAATTTCCCTTCTCTGCTGACAGTTAAATTAGACCCTAAATAGTTGGCCTGTCATACAGTCGATTTTTTGATTTGGTGGTTTTTCCTAAAATAAGCTATTCCTTAGTCAATAAGTAATACTTTATAAACCAGTGATCGCATCTTCGTCTTCTAAACCGAACTATGTCTTCTTTTGAAACTCGGTCGTATGTTTTACGCAGTATAACTTTTGTAGATGCGGGGTGGCGGTATCGTGCGCTACAGCGATTTAAGTTCACAGTTCGTGACATTTCATCAGATAGGTCACGAACTGTAGGTTTAAAAATAAACGCTTTTTAAAGAACCCAAAACAGGGAGGAATATAAATTTCCTCGTCTGCATGAGACTGCAGTAAAACCTCTCTTTGAAGTTCGCCAAGAGCTGGCTAAGCCATTATCCGTCCTGTGTCGGGAGTCGTTTTGAAATTCTTCATACGGATTGGACAACAGCGCACATTATAGACTGCATTGTACGCAACCACAAAAGTGGCGTTCGTGCACTTGCGTGAATGTGTTATGGGGTCATGGTGAAGACCACCAAAAAGGAACTGATGAGTTACTTAAAAGCCCACAACCTCGTCGGTTGTTCCTAAGCTGCCTGTATAGAGCAACGGCAATCATGGAGCACAGTCCTTGAGAGCGGAGTCTCATCAGGTTCAGCGCCGGGACTGGCACTCTTTCTCTTGTTTTTTAATAATTATTTATAAGCATTGGACTGTGAGTGTGCCATCTTTGCTTATGATATGGGGCCTGGAAAATCATTCACAGCGCTGCCAGCGAATCGAAGTTTCAAGAAACTCTTTGGTGACTGGGAACGCGGTCCCGCAGATGGCTGCTGTCATTCAGCTGGAACAACTGTACTATGATGCATCGCGGAAACTGAGACCAGGTCTCTGATATGCGTTCATAATGGCTAAATGGGACACCACTCCAAAAGGCCGAAACAACTAAAGATCTCCGTGTTTGAATGGCGGACACTCAATGACTTTTCATACACTATAGCAATGCGGTTGAGATCGTACTTTCAGGGCTTTATGTCACATGAATTTGCAATCCTCGCCTGGAGACCCTGAACGCGGTAAAATTGCGACGTACGCGACAGAATGTAGAGGAACACCACAGAAGTAAAAACCGGCCAGGAGCACTGTCATATGAGAACCGCCTAAATGATCTTAATCCCCCTCCTGTAAGTTACAGAAAGCTCCGTGAGAACTTGATACAGACTTTCGGTGTCGTGCCAGGTTTTGACTACACCTTCCACTGTGGCGACTCCTTCCGACCCGATACAACAAACAAACGTCCGGGTCATCCCTTCAAACTGTGTGCGTTTCAAGGACGACTGAATGGGACAAAGTATTATTTTTACAAACGCTCTGTGGAATCTGGGGTTTAACCTGTTAAAGCGATTGTAATATCTTAGTCTGCGGAAGCATTTAAATATCACCTTGGCAGACACATGTCGCAGAATCATTTATGCTGTGTGACTAATGTAGAGATAAGTCTGCTTTCACTTAACATTGTAATTCCCTTATATTTCTTATAATCCTTCCCATTTATATGTGACGAATGGGAAATCCAAAGGCGTAAACCTATTTACGTCAATGACAGTGGACGGAAAGATCCATAAAAATCACTTTCGAAGTGGTGACAACCTAAATATTTGCATTTGCTCGTGCGGAGAATACTCAAGAGGGTAACGTGCGACCAGCATCCGACCAACGGATAGGTTTCCTTCACCCTAATGGGTTATTATAAGAAAGCATTTTTGAGCGCATCTGTTTCTGAAATTTCCCGGAAAGTCATTTCTAATTTTCGCCGTCAGCAGTCATCAAGTCCTTTGTTCGTTAAATAGGGTCCCTATACACTTTGATGAAGTTTTGATTAATATCGTGTGAGTATAGCTTGATCAAGAGACCATTTAATTACTCAAGTTTGAGAGTACCACAGATATCCCTTGTTTGGCGCTTTTCCGAATCATGCTACTGTATACTAAGATGTGATAAATCCCAGTGTGTATTGTATAGCTGAACGCTCGTTCCGACGCCTTTGCTTTCCATGACATAACGCAGAAATTATAGGACCACCTA